TATATTACATATATAATATATATAATATATATTACATATATAATATATATAATATATATAATATATAATATATATATAATATAATATATATATATATAATATATATAATATATATATATAATATATAATATAATATATATAATATATATATATATAATATATAATATATATAATATATATATATAATAATATATATATACTTAATACATCAATTTGAGTCGTGTGAACTTGTATCAACCTCCAGTTTCAGCCAGGCTGCTTGATGATGAAGGCGGCAGTGCCATCTCCTCGATTGTAGCCATTCGCCGTGGCCTCGGAGGCACGTCACCGCAGATCCCATGCTCCGCTGGGAGCGCTGGGAGCGCTGGGAGCTGGACATTGAAGGTGAAGCAGCGACCGCCAGGGGAAAGCATGTGCCTTGGCGAAAAAGTCCCAGTTCAACAGCTTGAATTTGGGGATCCATCATGATCCATCACTGCAAAGACATTTTGGAAATAAGATGAAGTTCGATAAAATGCCTCATCAAGAGAGCCACATTCAATATTGAGATCAGGAATAAACAATTTTTACACGCCTAAATGTCTCATCCAGAATTATACCGTGATATGTCCAAGATATATTACCATATACATTATATTACATTATACTACATTATACTACATTATACTACCATATATTACCATCTCATCATGCTGAGGCCGAGCAACGCCGCGCAGCCGCCAATGAAGGATCCAACGGTCAAGGTCAAGCCGGTGCCCAGCCCCAAGTGCCATTCGAGTGGATCCCAGCGCTGTTCCAACAGGTTCACCTTGCCCAAGTGGGACGCCTCAGCCGGGAGTTCGAATCTTCAAGAAAATGTGGGCCGATATACGATAGATACTATAGGCATCTATAGGCCATAAAATGCCATAAACTACTACAATGTGACAATGATCATTATATAATTTATATATATATATATTTATATATAATTTACAATCTCAAGTGAGCAAACATCATGGGTAACCAACAACATGAGACCACCTTCAGAATCGACAGCTTGCTGCCAGGTGGAGTTCTTTTGTCTGAGGATCCTTACCACCAACGAAGAGGAGCAAGCGGTGTCACAGGCATAGCTTCCACCTGCCCACATCTCAGTCGCGAATTGGTGCGACTTGCTTTTCATATCTCCACTCTTTTTGACTTATCTATCTTATCTTGACTCCACTTTCTCAACTCAACTATGCTCAACTTGCGCCTTTCAAGTTGAAGGAGTAGTTGAAGCGGTTCGCAACGATTGCCAGCTGGTTGTTGGTGGCAACACTCGAGGGCACTGGCATTTGGTTCCACTCCTGCTTGTCCAAGCCCACAGACATGGACGCGTGGGTCGACTTGCTGTTGGCAATCCTTGGACGATGGGATCTTTGCCCACTAAAATTGGAACCATGGCACCGTGGTGAACCTAATCCCTGTCACGCCTCCAGCGTGGCGTATTGTTGTCTTTGAGGCTCAAGCTTCTTGGTTAAGCCGATCTGTAGGGTGGAGAGGTAGCCAACCTGAAGGCTATCTGCTGCTGTAACTATCGCTTTTGACAGATTCTGTGGGTGTCTCTCGAACCTGCGAACCCTGTAAATCCTCGCGAATGCCAGACTCCCCATTTCGCAAACACAGCCGCAATGTTGTGTAAACTCCATGCCGAGGTCCTTGCAACCTTCAAAACTTTGATTTTGATGTGCTTGGGACCTAGAATACCCATGTTGGTTTTCTGCCTCAAACATGGGGTGTGAATCGCTAAATTACTGACATCTAAGGAGCACTAAATGGCCTCTGCAATTGGGGGTGACACAAAAGGAGCTAATCCCACAGTGAAGCATGACGCGCACCTCCATGACTTGTCGAAACATGGGATCCATACATTCTGCCTCGGTGGGAGATCATATGACACAGTCCCGAGCATCAAACAATATCAACAAATACAACATCAAATATGCTATCAAAAAATGAACAAATCTAGCGTTTCTAGGTCTCCATCTATGGCTGTCACATGATGGCAGTCTATATGGGCGAAGATTCAATGTATTTGGCTCATGAAGAAGGATCAAGTGTGGTCAAAGCTTGCTATAGATGCATATAACGATGTAGCAGGAGTGGTTTGCGAAGCGGTGAACCATTTGTCATGTCTTTCTGAGCGGCCTCCATGTTGGAGATCTCAAAGGCTTTGTTGTCGAACAACTCGACACCTAGCGTTTTAGCGAGCCAGAGAGGTGTGCAGCCACCCTGCTTTCAAAACCCTCTCAGCACAAAATGGTGGAGATCTCAAAGGTCTTGTTTTTAATGCCCAGTATGGGATGGAACAGAAAACGTGAGCCAACAAATCTATCCAAATCTGCCAGTTTCAACCCTGGCTTCTGCGCAATCAAAGTTTTGATCGGCTGTGGCTGCGCACCATCTTGCACCGAAAAGTGTTTCACAAAGGTGGTGCCCTGAGGCATGTCGACTTCTTCGCTGTAGTAGGGCAAGTATTCCTGAAGCAAAACCATGGCAGCAATGCGCCAATCTCAGGTCTCAATCTTCGGGAACACCATGGAAAAACACCAAATGCAGCCCAGCATCAAAACGCGTTATGGGCATCTCCAGCTGAGCATCGACGCCAGCCATGTATGCTGCCCACCTGGGCGATGTGAGACATGCTCCAGCAGAATGAAGGATTAACCGTTTAACCTACAGAAATGGAATCTGTACATATCATATGTGTGTACACGATATCTTTAAAGATGTGGATAAACTCGGGGATATCACTTGTTTTTATTGAAACCCCTTGGCTCTAGACCTGACAGTGGCAGTGCAACCAACATCATTTTTCGCCATCTCCATACTCTCGATCTGGACTTGGTATGTATGCAGAGCCCTATGGCTATGGGTTTCTCCAAATCTCAGCTTCCAGCTCTTTGTGATGGTCGGTCATTTTGCCGCAGGCTTGCAGCGAAAGTGCGACCTGGCTACGTGGGTGGCTACCCACGTGACAAACGTGGACTCCACCTGGATTCTCAAGAACCCAGCCTCCAGCCTGCTACAGTAAGCCCTAGATTTTTCAGGACTTTCCTACTATCAGGTTCCACCACCTTCATCAAAGAACCAGGCTCGACCATCAGAACTAGTCCGCAAGAAGGATGGAAAGGGGCCGAAGATCCACACCATGGAGCCTTTATGTGTATGTTAAGAAAAGGATTGGCAAAGGAATCCTGGAAGGAATCGAGCCCAAAAAGAGAAATAGACTTCAGAGACAACACTGTGCTCCTAGGGCAACAGATCTTGTTGCAAAGATGTAAGAAACTGAAGCTACAAGTTCAAAACATGTGGTTGGTTAAACACAAGACTTAAAAGGCTCCAGAATGAACCATACAGTCGTGGTATGCCAACTCCAGTCCAGAATTTGTTGGCGATGAACCTTTGATTAGCTTTTGGTGATACCAATCTTTAAAATTTTAATTACATATAGTTGCTACATCATGTTGCAACAGTGGTTTGGAAACTTTCCTCCCATCACAAGGTAACTGCTTCTGAGCAAGCGACCACTGCCACTACGTCAGGACCAGTGGGTGGAGGTGGTCCTTCACCTGCCGTACGTTCGTATGTGCAGGATCCCGGAAAAAAATAAGGGCGATTCTCATCCCAGTCATCCAGTAAACTCATCAATCCAGTCGACAAACATCACATTCAAAACAGTACCCTCTGGTAATTTAACATAGCTATAGAAAATCACCATTTTTAATAGGTAAACCATCTATCAAAGGGCCATTCTCCATAGCTATGTTAGTTTACCAGAAGGTATCGCCTCAGATGTATCAAAGTCAGGTGGCCTCTGCTGACCAACAGGCTCAAGTCGCCATCAATGAGATCGCCCAAGGTCCAGCTGGGTCCAGCTCGCAGCAGAAATGCCCTCGGATGTTTCAAGATGGATCATCCCAGTAGCTGGGTCAGTGACCATAATTCTACCCACCATTATATACAGTGTGTATATATATATATACACAATAAAAACGTATATTATAAATAATATTGACAATGTGCGCATATACAAATATCATACATACTGTATGTGCGGTGCATATAATATGTGTGTATACATGTGTATATGTATACATACATATACATATACATATTTATACCTATATAATATAATATAAATATAAAGATAAATATAACTATAAATATAAATGTAATCTAATATAATATAATATAAATACAATATAAATATAATATGAATATAGCGCGGACGATTGGAGCACTCGCGCACGGCGGCAGCAGTGCGGCGAGGCCAGTCTTGAGGTGAAACAGCGGGCTGTTTTGTACACACATCAAAGATGGGCGAAAGCTCTGGTTGGCCCTCACCCACCTTCCGAGCATAGTCCACAGGCCGCTGCTGGGCATTAACATGGGCACCAGACAAGCGCAGCTGGTGACAATTATTTTGCTGGCAGACTGATGCTGCCAGAGGAATACCACTTAGGGGACTCAACAGCTGACAAGAATCGTTTGACAAATCAAATTTCAAATTAGCAGGCCAGGGCGAGAAAAACACAAAAGCAGTGCGACCCAAGCCTGAGCCTCAAGTCGTGCAGGTCAGGTCGAAACAATGGATCTAGAAATAGGGCGTGTTACGACTTTTCCTCCATGTCTTCTTCCGCTGCGTTCATGTGGCTGTGGTGCCAACCAGCTGCCAAACTGCTAGCAATAACTCCTATGCTGAAAGTGCTGAAGTCTAGCTGGCAGCACGTAATTTCCCTTACAACTTGCATGTCCAATGCCACTCAAGCTGAATTGCTACGACTGAATCCGGACCGGTCAGGCAATCACTGAAGCACGCGCACCACCATGACCAAAGTTTCTAATGGAACATAGAAAGGGTAGCGATGCAAGATTGCACCTTCCAGATTTCTCGTCACAAAAAGCAGGGTCATTGGACCGGCCAGATGCTACAAAGGTTGTGATGCACAGGACCCATAGCGCAAAGCTGGAAGTCAGCAATGTGACACCATTGCAGCGAGAGTTATGATCAGAACCAACATGCCAGTAGCCACTGAATCCAGAGGCATGCCACCCAGCCAGACTTGAAAGCATCAAGGTAGCCAAGGTCAAGTGGTCGCTGATTGCCCTTGGAAACAAAGCAGTGCCCACCGCAATGGGAAACAACACATGGCTCTGGTCAAGGTTCTGCTGTCTCAGCCGCACCTCTGGAAGGACTTGACCCATCACGGCTAATATAATATGAATATAAATATGATATAATCTAAATATATATAATATATAATGTAATCATAATATAATATAATATAATATAATACAATATAATGTATTACATATAAATAATTATGTATACACAATCATATATAGACGTAACTGACATAACTATATACACATATTATTATGATTATATATGTGTATATATATATATTATGTCCGACAATCCTACTGCTTGGGGACTTACCGACCGGGGTTCTTGAGCACCTACGCCACGGTCAACATTTTATCTTGAAACTAAGCAGTTTTGTTTTGAAGCTTCCCAGTTGTATTTTGGAACTGGAATTTTGAAGCAATCAGGTTAAAAGTGAAACTTGAGAGTTGCAATGTAGAGCTCATATTTCGAAAATGTAAAGAGTAAAGATGGTATTTTGTTGTATTTTGAAACTCGTATTTCGGAACTGAGTTCCTGAAACTGCTGGATGGCGTACTCAAGTAGGCGCAAACGTGATTGCCGCGCACACACACACAATCCACAGCGTGTGATAGTTGGGCAAGATTCAAGGGAGAATCCTCCTAGTTGCAACAGTTGCGCAAGATTAGTTTCCAAATCCGATGAGGTGCAAAGCAATCGCTGGGCAAGAATAGTAGCAGAATACCACTGAGTAGGTTCGGAATCTGACGTTGTTGCGCAATCCTAGCTGCGCAATTCCAAGGGAGTTTCGAGATAGGATTTGATCATGTGTTATCCAGTTGTTATCACATGTTATCCCCGTTATGATCCGTTGGATGATCCGTGCAAACACCGGGCTCCCAGCTGGAGCCAGAAAGCCTCACTTTCATCCTCTGGCTCATCACACCTCAGAGGCATGGACCATGGAGAGTTACTTGTGGAGATTACAAGGACGTCTCAAGTCACAAAGTTTCTCAGGGTTCTTGATTTTTATTGATTCTATGGACGCACAGACACTATCTCATCAACATTACATTCGACATTTCCATCACATTTCCATCACTGTGAAGTGTGAGACTTTGACCAATAGTCGAAGGTGTCTTGCCTCACCACGATGATCCTGGCAGTTTCCAAAGTTTCCCCACCCCAATCCTTCGGAAGTGTTCATTGCTTGTGACACTATAGTTGTGGCCCTCAAAAGCTGTGAGTCACGATTGGATAGTTAAATAACAGATAATAACAGTAATACTGCAATTAGAACTAGTTCGATGATGTTCTATGCATAATTTCCATGTGTTTCAGCGCGCAAATTCACCAAATTATTGGGTCCACTGGGTCCAATGGCCAAAGGTTACCTGGTTTTTGAGCCGCAACCACTGCTGGCTGAGACCACAAGCAGGCAAGCACGACGTGTTGGGGCCAGCTGTGATTTCCTTGGATATTTCCGCAGGGCTACAGCAATTGGCTGTGAGAAAAGGCCCCATTTTGTGTCGATTTCAATCCTCTAGTTGAGCACTTTGGTTGTCCTTGGTATGTTCGCAATGCTCGTATGTAGTTGATTCTCTTATCTTGAATATCTTTGATCCAATGATTGCCATCACCATCTCAGCTGACAAACAAACCTTGCCGAGGAGCATAGCTGTCATCTAAACGTTTCAGTGGAGCATCTTCTTTGGTGGACAATTCCACCTTGCACTCCCCAGGACCCATGAAGTGCACCTGGCAACACACATTGGACTGGCACCACATGAGCTTCACCTGCACCCTTTTCCCTGGCAATCAGGTCAATCAAATGTCTCTGGCCTGCAAAGTGGATCAACAACAAATGCATTGTCAAATGAAAATGATAGGGAAGTAAAATGGAAAGAGGTGATGCTGATTGTGAAGCTAGTGATGGTGATGATGGTGATGATGGGAGGCCGCCGACGGCGACGACGACTGCGACGGTGATAGCAAAGGTGGCAACCAGGAACAAGAAAGAAGGATTACTAAGGAGGAAACCCAGGATTGTAAGGAGGATAAGGAGGATAAGCAGGATGAGGATGAGGATGAGGAAGATGAGGAGGAATGGGAAGAGCAGAGGCATCGATCCAAATTTGATTTCGTTTCGACTCTTCCAATGAGATGAAAGCAGTGCAAAGTGCTTGTGGAAAAAATAAACTTGTCACCAGGCCACCATGTCCCTGAATACACTTATGTTGATGTGTTCACCCACTATGGTCTGGTGTGAACTGACCTTTTTGGGGATCCCGAACCCCAGGCCATTGACCATGGATAGCCCATTTCAAATGCGCCAGCATCACCACTCTGAGAACACTACGAGCCCAGTTGCCATAGAACTCCTGAAAAAGTAGAAGACCAAATATATATAAGCAGTGTTCAAACCCTTCTGTCATATCTGTCATCTTTTGTAGTTCCCGCAGCTTACAATTATCCCCAATGAACCAGGTAGTATAAACCCCTACAATGCAATAACAAATTAGATCATGGTCTTGGTTCCTGCGGGAGTAAATCGCGTATGTTCAGACTCTTACACCCGCAGTTCCCTCAAGGCAGAATTTGCTGTTTGACTATCGAAGGACAGAAAGATCCAATAGGGGTACTATCCCATTTGGCAAGTGGTGCGTCGGGTTTCTGCAAGGCCCCCAACTGGGGGATTACCCCAAGCAATGTATTGACATGTTTGCAAACCAGCATACTGAATGAGACATGTTTGCTACTAGAAAACAACCAAGTAGCCAACATGCTAAATGAAGCAAACAACCTTTGAGTTGCGTCCTCGATGATGGTGTCAGAGGCTGTGGGATGCTCATAGACTGCCTCTTCGGCGTCACTCATGGACCTACAGCGCTGCCACCAACCGGTCCCCACATCTTTCATGGGCCGCTACCACTTACAGTACCCCTGGTGAACTCAAACGTCAGTGGTAAGATCCTCAAAAATGGTAGTTATAGGTATTATTGACCCATAGCCAGATTGTATGTATCTATAAATATTCCGGGAACTACAAGTATGGGGCCTGTACCATGATTTCAAATTGGGTTCCCCCAAACAAAGCCACAAAAATAACCAGAATGATAGTTGAAGGGATCAAACAAACTCAGGAATCCGCATGCAAGCCATGGCTGGAGTTCTCTCCGCGATGGGTGCGCCAAGAACGTCCTGAATCGACGTTACAGCTGTGAAAGGCATGTGAAATGGGCATCCACCATGCAACTCGCGACTTTCTGGGAGGGATACATCTCTTGCATATCCAGAATCGAGCAAATTAGAATTCGTAGATGCACAGCCATGTTTCGAGCTAACAGAAACAGCCCTCAAAACGTGGCCATTCTTCCCATGGCCATCCCTAGCAGCCCTACCATTTGACCTCCGCAAAAGGCTGGAGGATCTCAGCCAAGCTAGTGATGTTTGCATCATTCCTGGCATCACCAGAAAATGATCTCTCAGCATCAGGCTCAAGGACAGGTCAAGCTAAGCTGAGAAAAAGATATCCTGTGGAAATATGTTGACTTTCGTTGACTTTCTTAACGTTGTTGATCCTGTGGAAATCCGATGACCCACAATTAATCGCTGCAAGGGCATGGCATGGCATGGCATGGCATGGCACCTTCGTAGAACCGATCCCACTGGCACAGAGGAATCCTCTGGATCTAGCCACATGACTTTGCCGCGACCACCCCTTGGCAGCTGATGTTCTGATTGTTCTGGACTGATCTGGACAGACTTGAACGTCACATGTAGAGACTGATTGTTGTGGCCCGTTGCTGGGGCTGAGCTAACCACTTTCCAAGGTATCCCTCCTCAACTTCAGTCGCCAGTCGGCAAAGCCTCAAGGTTTCAAGGTGTTCCAAAGGCACAGGTATCCAGGCAAATACCAGAGATGGAACCCCCAAGCCAAGATCATCAAGCTCCTGGCCTGCCCTCTGAATCAAATTGTCTCATCATCTGGCAAGACAGAAAAACAAAGCTTACTGGGGAATTCAAGAGCCGCAATGTCATGCCCCAATCTTGTTGAAGTCGAACATGTCCATCGTCCAAAATCAAAGAACCTTGTGCATCTGACTACGATCATCATCTCTCTGGATAAGGCGAAGGACGCAAAATCCTGGATCAGCAAATGTCGAAGTTTCAGTTTTCATGTCACGTGCAGTGGTCAGATCCATGTTGTTCGAGCAAATAAAGAAAATTATGTAAATGGAAAAATGTTCAAGCAAAATGCTGTGACATGCCACTCATCTCAGCATGTGATCTGAAGACTTCCAGCCTCTTTCGAGAAGTCTGTTCGAAAGTGCCTCCCAGTTCTCTAACGTGGGTGGCACTGCAAAATTCAATCCATTTTTCAGACACCTGGGGTTGGTCAAACTTGGGTGTCTGGCATTTGGAAAAAGAAAGCCTTTTCAAACCTTTGCAAAGTCACCAGATCGCTTCTTTTTCGGCTTCAATTGGGTCTGAAAATAAGGTCCCCATTCCATCATTCCATCCATGGCTTAAAACTGTTTAAAACCTCGTTTTCCTCATTCAGACGACCTTGACTTGAGAGCCCATCCCCGTGGGAGAAACTCTTGCCGCTGGTGAAATCCCTATCATTTGTTGAAGTTGCTGGATTGCTGGTGAAGTGTCATGATAAATTCCATTGAATTGCAGCTTTTCCATGGTTTTTCCATGGTTGTTCCATGGTTTTTCCATGGTTTTTCCACAGGGGGTTGAAAACCCATCCCATCTGGTTCGCCTCGCCCAACGCATCTCGATTGGTTCGAGGCCCAACAACGATGTCAAAGCTCTCTGGTCCGCCACCAGTAGCCGGTCCCTGGGTTCCATCAATGATTGATACAGAAGAGGATATGGGTACATGATGGGGAGATACTGGGGATATGCTGATGATATATATATATATGTATATAGAGCGGATGTGATGGGTACCCAGAGCATAAATAATCATGATATAGCAGGGATATGATGGAGATATCATGGGGGATGACTCAGTTTAAAATGTTCAAATGAAAGGGTGTTGAATACCCTTCATGGCCCAAAATCATTCCAAATCTGAAATAGTTTTGTCCGACTTGGACTTTGGGAATGGGGACCCCTGAAATACTCTCGATCCCAAAGGAGCTTGTAAGTCTGACCAGCCATAGGGCTATAGGGGAACCGGTCCCTGCAACAAAGGCACTCAGTAGGGAAACCCTAAGGTCCGGGATCATCGTCCCGAGGATATGGAAAATCAAAGAGCTGCAAAACCACCAACCAGTAAATGCTGGTCATATCACTTACTGGGTCAAAGAATACTCAAATTTTGAAGGGAAACATCAGAATTTCATTTCAAGATTCCATAGTTTTGATCCGTAGTTACTCGTAGTTTCGGGTGTTCACAGGTTTTGTTCGCCATCTGCCTGGCAGTCGATCACCGTGTGGCAGTCCTTCGGATCCACGGACACAGTTCGCCCAGTGCCTCGGTCAACAGTGTCTAATCGCTATTTGTAAATATAGAGCTATAAGATGATTATAAAGATTAATCAACGGTTAATGATGGTTAATGATGGTTGATGATGCTTAATGATGGTTAATGAGGGTTAATGATGGTTAATCAACAGTTGATGCATGTTTATCCCTTCCCCTGAAATCCTCACCCAGAAACCCTGTAAATCAATATGGGAGTCGTTCATCTTGGGGGCCCATATATGGGGGGTATCCAATATTGGGATGGGAGTTTTTTAGGTCAAGTGCCAGGTCCATAAAAAGAAACTCAGGGCATCTCAGGGCCAAGCTTAAGAGGGCGATCTCAAAAACCCCTTGTTCTGGAATCCAGTTGATGAGCTGACCACGCCTTGGATCGCCACGATTATTTCTTGTGGAAATTTGTGGAATAGGTATGTTTGGAATCTTGAGATATCTTGAGATGTGTTTCTTCAAACAAATCTGCCCCTAGGCCCAGACTCGCCAGCAGAAGGCCCTGCCTGCGAGAAACAAGATGGCACACGAGCTGTTTGCTGAATGTGCATCATCAAGTGATATCAGCTCTAAAAATCAAAGCGCAGGTGTTGAGCAAGGCATGACTTGCAAGCGTGAGAAATATGTCAGGTCAGCTGGACAGGACTGCCGTTTGTTTTCCGAAGGTTTGCTGCAGTCACTAATTAGTTGAGGGAGAAAACTTCTGTATCAGGCTCGCTGTGCCTGTTTTCGGCACTGCAGCCTGTGTTAAACAGCAATGCACTCAGCGAGAACTGTGGGATGCCTGCATCGCGAGGCTCAGCACATCATGAGTGCTTGTTCAGCTTGCCAAACGTCTGCAAAACATCTCCAAAGGCTCTTGCGCGACCGTCTGCCGCTGCCTTGTAGAGTTTCTCAGCTTCTACCCTTTCATCTTGGTCCTCCAAGGCGACAGCTAAATTGAAAATGGCATCCAAGGTGTAGGGATCTTCCGGCCCAAAGGCTCGAGTGTACGCCTCCACAGCCTTGCGAAAGCATGCTTCTGCTTCAGCATCTTGACCCTGCTGGGCCAAACACACTGCCAAGTTATAGGCGGAGTTTGCTAGTTCGGCATCCTGGGAACACAGAAAGCAATGGAAAACTAGGATGCACTGAAGTCCCTAGAAATCGACGGATGTCGATACCAGATAGACCATCCCAAAAGTGAGGAAAACATGTCAAAACCCATCTTAATTCTCCATAAATTCCGCACATATCTAGCGTTATGACCCCGTGTAGACAAAAGAAAGTTGATTTTAGCAAAAGATTAAAAAAAAAACAATCAAAAACAGAATCACCAAAAAACAACTCGACAGGAAGAGTCACCAGAAAAAAACAACAAAAAACTGCATTTTCCTCAGTTTTTGTTGTTTTTTCTTTTTTCTTTTTTGTTTTGTTGGCGTGGTGTTTTCTTTTTGTTTTTTATTGTTTTGTTTTTGTTCCTTGATTTGGGTTTTCTGGTTTGTTTTTTGGTTTGCTCTGTGTTTTTTTCTATGAAACCCTATAAATTCTCTGTACCGCTGGACTCATAAATCTAGCGTTCAAATCATCAGACCAGTGAGTATCCACAAGAGTTCATGCCGCAGATCGAAACCTTGTGGTTGAAGATGTAGTCCATGAGGATTTCAATTTTCTACAGTCATGAACTCATGATATATCCCCCTGATTCTGGTATTCTGAGTTCTCTCTGTCTCCGTGTTGAAACAGCGGATAACAGCTGAAATTGTTCCTCATTTTGCAGCCGGAAAAGTATCTGTAAGCGGGTGGGTTTGGAATGCTTGATCGGCGCACCAGTAGACAACCATGATGTGTTTTTTTTTCATTGTGTTTTATCATATGGATTGTGGTGCTTCGCAAATGGTACTGGGATATGTATCATTGGATGGGGATGTGTTTCTTTGTTTGGTGTTACTCAACCAACCCAATGGATCCAAACAATGAGTCAATGTATCACTGGATATGAGGTTCCTTTTTCATCCTTTTTGGGGTTTTACCATGGTTTTACCATGGTTTTACCATGGTTTTACCATGGTTTTACCATGGTTTTACCATGGTTTTACCATGGAATATCAATGCCTCCACCACCTTCCGAGTCCTCGCAATCCTTCTGCGTGATGCGTGCCTGGAAGCCGTGTCGGAACATCTCCTCGGCGCGGGGAAGGTCGTCACGAAGCTTGGCCAACTCGCCCAATTTGTCGCTGCAAAGGAGAACCCACCTGTGTCAGAGTCCCAGAGCAAAAGTCCACAAAGAAATCGCTGGGGATGGTTAACGATGGTTAATGGTGGTTAATCATGGTTAATCACGGTTAATCATGATTAATCATGGTTAATCATGGTTAATGATCGTTAATCATGGTTGATGATTGTTCATGATGGTTAATCATGGTTAATCATGCTTAATGATGGTTAATGATGGTTAATGATGCTTAATGATGCTTAATGTTGCTTAATGTTGTTTAATAATGCTTAATGATCGTTTATGCTGCTTAATAATGCTTAATAATGCTTAACGATGCTTAATGATGGCTAATGATGGTTAACGATGGTTAATGGTGGTTAATCATGGTTAATCATGGTTAATCATGATTAATCATGGTTAATCATGGTTAATGATCGTTAATCATGGTTAATGATTGTTCATGATGGTTAATCATGGTTAATCATGCTTAATGATGGTTAATGCTGTTTAATGCTGTTTAATAATGCTTAATGATCGTTTATGATGCTTAATAATGCTTAATAATGCTTAATCATGCTTAATGATGGCTAATGATGGTTAACGATGGTTAATGGTGGTTAATCATGGTTAATCATGGTTAATCATGATTAATCATGGTTTATCATGGTTAATGATCGTTAATCATGGTTAATAATTGTTCATGATGGTTAATCATGGTTAATCATGCTTAATGATGGTTAATGATGGTTAATGATGCTTAATGATGCTTAATGCTGCTTAATGCTGTTTAATAATGCTTAATGATCGTTTATGATGTTTAATAATGCTTAATAATGCTTAATGATGCTTAATGATGGCTAATGATGGTTAACGATGGTTAATGGTGGTTAATCATGGTTAATCATGGTTAATCATGATTAATCACGGTTTATCATGGTTAATGATCGTTAATCATGGTTAATGATTGTTCATGATGGTTAATCATGGTTAATCATGCTTAATGATGGTTAATGATGGTTAATGATGCTTAATGATGCTTAATGCTGCTTAATGCTGGTTAATAATGCTTAATGATGCTTAATAATGCTTAATAATGCTTAATAATGCTTAATGATGCTTAAAGATGGCTAATGATGGTTAACGATGGTTAATGGTGGTTAATCATGGTTAATCATGGTTAATCATGATTAATCATGGTTTATCATGGTTAATGATCGTTAATCATGGTTAATGATTGTTCATGATGGTTAATCATGGTTAATCATGCTTAATGATGGTTAATGATGGTTAATGATGCTTAATGATGCTTAATGCTGCTTAATGCTGGTTAATAATGCTTAATGATCGTTTATGATGCTTAATAATGCTTAATAATGCTTAATGATGCTTAAAGATGGCTAATGATGGTTAACGATGGTTAATGGTGGTTAATCATGGTTAATCATGGTTAATCATGATTAATCATGGTTAATCATGGTTAATGATCGTTAATCATGGTTAATGATTGTTCATGATGGTTAATCATGGTTAATCATGCTTAATGATGGTTAATGATGGTTAATGATGCTTAATGATGCTTAATGCTGCTTAATGCTGGTTAATAATGCTTAATGATCGTTTATGATGCTTAATAATGCTTAATAATGCTTAATGATGCTTAATGATGGCTAATGATGGTTAACGATTGTTAATGATGGTTAATGATGGTTAATCATGGTTAATCATGATTAATCAAGGTTAATCATGGTTAATAAAGGTTAATGATTAACCATCATTAACATCATTAAGCATCTTCAAGCATCATTAAGCATCATTAAGCATCATCAACCATCCTAAACCATCATGAACACTCATTAACCATCAGTTAATTATGGTTAATGATGCTTAATGATGGTTAATGATGCTTAATGATGCTTAATGATGCTTAATGATGCTTCATGATGATTGATGATGCTTAATGATGGTTATATAATGATGGTTAATGATGGTTAATGGAAAAAGAATGGTCCATTCTACTCACAAGGGGATATGGTATTGATGGAACGTTCCCAATAAACGCTGAAAATCTATGGTTGGTTGGTTGATAGGGATAATTGTTTTGGACAATGGGAAATCAGTCAGCCCATGATAATGATTGGATATGGGGCATATCCATGAAAATCCCCCAAAGCTACAAGAGTGTCCAAATTTTGACCCCCAAAAAGTTGCTGTGGATTGGGGAAAAAAAAAGAAGCCAAGGCACTCATGGTCTGGGCTGAAGCCCTGCGCTTCCAGCTCCGAGTAGAGACCTTGCATCACTGCCTCAGCCTCGTTGGATCTTCCAGCCTCTGCTAGGCAAACTCCCAAGGCGAGGGTACTCTCTAAGGTCTTCGGATGCACCAAGCCAAAAACCTTGGACGTCCCCGCTTGAACCTGCTGATAGAGCTTCAAAGCCTCCTCAATCCGGTCACTGCGTTCCAGCAAGACCGCCAAGTTGGACATGGACCGCAAGGTGTCCTCAGTTCCAGTCTGCCAGTCATCAACCGTAGCGCTGGGGGATCATCTCCAGTTATGTATATATATATATATACACACACACATACATACATACATAACATAATATTACATTACATAACATAACATAACGTACTGTAATATAACATTACATTACATTACACAACATTACATTACATTACATAACATAATATAATATAACATTACATTACATTACATTACATAACATTACATTACATAACATTACATAACATAACATAACATTAAATTACATTACATTACATACATACCATACCATGACATGACATTACATTACATTACATTGCATAGTAATATATAGAAATGTGTATATATATATATATTTATACTAGTATATACAATTTATATGTAGAAAGTAATATATTATACGTATATATATATATATATGTACATATACATATATATATATATACATATTATAATATATATATATATACATATTATAATATTTATATATATACAATATTATATATATATACGTTATATATATATATATCATTATAGTTGAGTGTGATCTTCAGAATTTCCAGAAACAAATCTTACGTGGAAAAAAAAAACACAAAACATTCATCAACCAAACCCTGTCCTCGTGTTCCACTCCCAAAGCCCTCCTCCTGCTCAAGAGCACTCGGCAGAAGAGGCTTTCGGACTCTTCCAACTGACCGGAATTCCACAAACAAATGGCCAAATCCTCCACATAGCCCAGCACAACTGTAGCAGTGGTGCCATAGCGCTGCTCGCACTGGTAGATCTTCTCCCGCAAGAGCTTCTCGGCCTCGTGGATCTTGTCGTTCTGAGTGTAGTACTCTACCAGGCCATAGGTCAACTCCTGCGTGTTGGGATCGTTGAAGCCAAAGGCTTTCTCATGAATTTCAATCGAGTTCAAATGGGCTTCTTCTGCTTCGGACATACGGCCACATTCTGCCAGCAGAGAAGCCAAGGTCACCGACGTCTTGAGATTCTGTGGATGATCTTTGGGATGGATCTCAGTTGAACGAGCCAAAAGATCTTTGCAAACCTCCACAGCTTCTGTCAAGTTCCCTTCAGCTTTGAGGATGTCCACCATGCGCTCGATGCAATCCAATGTTCCATGGTGATTCCAACCAAAGCATTCCACGCAACCATTGCGTGCCTCAATGAAGGCGGCCTTGGCCTCGGCGAGTTGGTTGTCAGACAGCAGGAAGGAGGCCAAATTGTAGATGGAATCCAAGGTGTAGGGATGGGTTGGCCCGAGCTGCTTCATGCGTCCATCTCGTGCCCAGCGGTACAGCTTCAGGGCTTCGGGTTTCTCACCGATGTTGTCCAAGTAAACGGCCAAATTGTTCACAGTCATCAAGGTGTTCAGGTGATCATTGCCATACATCTCAATGGAATCTTTCAGGGCTCGGCGAAGGAGTTGTCCAGCTTCCTCGGTGCCAGGGACGATTTCCTCAAGTTGCAAGGCCAGCTCGGAGGCAAGATGAATCGCTTGCTTGCTCTTGCTTCCATGCTGTTTCTCAACATCCCTGAGGCATCGCCTGGCTTGTGAAACGGCATCTTCTACACTGGGAATACTGGGAGGCCCTTGAGTGGGTGGTGATCTGCGAGTCAATACTGCTCCACTGGTTGGTGTTGGAGACCGTCCCGTCACGGGGGTGGGAGTGCGACCACCATTGGCGGAGTAGGGGGGCGACAGCGACTTGCCACGGAAGGCTGGCATCATCCCAGGAGTGCGGGGCGTTTTGGCGCCATGGACGGGGGTGGAAGAACCGGGTGAGCAGCGGTTGCACGGATGTGGAGAAAGGAGGTCATTGTGAGGGCCTGAAGGCACAGGAGCCTTCACTTGCGTGAAGAGATCATTGTTGGCATCAATTGTCAAAACTTTGGGGACGTTCTGTGGCAAAGTTGCAGATGTCAGAGTGCCCAAGCCATCAATGAGTTCCTTCAAGGCCTTGGCGGCTTCATCGGTCTCCTCCTTGGCAGCCATCATCTTGGCGCGAGCGACCGCAGCCTCCAAGGCGGCCCGTTCGAGGTCCATCCTCAAGGCGGCATTCTCCTCGCGCTGACGCACCACCTGAGATGGGGAGCCCACACCCAGTACTGCCCTAGTGCTATACCAGGATGCGGAAAAGGTAATGGTAGGGATTGTGATCCCCATCAGGAATCATTACCAGCTTGTGATACTTTGCTGATGAGGACTATCAATGGTCCAATGGTTAAGCTCAGCCCTGCCCGCCTGCGCTTCGATCTGTTCCTTCTCCTCTTTCGCAGTCTCCAATTCCATTGTCGCTCGTTTGCATTCCACCTGAGCATGAAGTTCACCCCTTGGGCTGTTGCCTTGAAGTGGTTGGTTCATCGAACTTGGAACATGAATATGACCTTGGGACCTTCCCATTTCACAAAACCATCTTGGGAGCTCAGAGTTGTACCTTACCACTGTGAATCCCCCAAAATGGTCAACTCAACCAGTGTTCACCACTGCCCACCTCCACCACCTGCAGTTCTTGAGCTTCAGCAGCCACCTGCTCCTTCAAGCGATCGCGAGCGGCGCGAATCTCTTCCAACTGCAGTTTGCTCTGTTGCACCTGGGAATAAAGATAGTCATGTGCCTGTTGATGTTGTTGCACTTTTTGGCCCAACTCATGCAGCTCGACCCGCAAATGGCTTCGAAGTGTCTGATGTTTGCTGATCAGCTTCTCGTGTTTCTCTTGATCTTCTTCAGCCAAAGCGATATCGCGCTGGAGGCCTTGAACTTTCTCCTGGATCATCTTTCTGTTGCGTTCCAAGCATTTCATCTCCCTCTTTGCAAAGCAGCTAAAGCAGCTGAAGCAACCCGACGCTGTGCTGTGCGGTTGGATAGTGGCCCGGGTGGCCATTGCGTTGATTCAAAAGCAACGAGATCTCTCTTTGGACGAGCAAATGTTGGAAAATAAATCACAAGCTAGAGGAGGGGAGCCCTGCAAGCACACCTGGACAACAATTGAATCATCCTGACCACGATAATTAACTTATAACTTCATGAAATGTCATGAATATTCACGATCGCGTGGAACCTAACTCCTACAGCTGGAGCCAAACATCCAAGTTCAAACTGCGAGTGGGGTTCGGCTCCCCATCACCATGAGGGAACTGGAAGTCCAGATCTGTTTACAAATTACATCAATATGCGAGGGTATAGGGATGGGATATACAATGATGTATCAGTTCATCACAACTATTGCTGTTGGATTCTCCTGCAAAACATGGACCATCAACTGGTGGCTTTGGGGCTGCAGCACCTCTATCTCAACCAATTGTCCAATGTGGAGCCCATCGATCACGGGCAGCCACTGCTCAAGAGCCTAGCACCGGGCAGGGAACCGGGAAACCCAACAACCCCATAGCTGGTGGTTTATACGGCCATGAGTTTCAACCCTGGGACCATAGGTACTCTATAGTAGCTCGTTAATAGATGTGTATGCTCCCAAATATTGTAATGCACGGAGAGTAAATGAGAGTACAGCGACCCATCCCCATATCTGTTCATAGAAAAGAGTGAATCTGTCATATGGGCAGTTCACCTGATCGCTCCTCTCCGCAGGAGCCATGACACAGCGGTGCTGTTTCACATAAGATGGCCTCTTGAAAGTGACTAGGATGTACTTCCGATATTTTCAGGAAATGCATTTGATGTGTGGGGAGCGAAGCATTTCGTGAGTTCAATCATGTCCAATCTTCCTTTGGGGTGTCAGTTCTTGGTGCAGGCCTGCAAAGCATGTTGACTTTCATTTCCTTTGGCGCTCTGAGCCAGGTTGACATCCAGTGACAGTAACATCCCGGACGCTCCAATTTCTCTGGAAGAAAAGTGCGGGAAGGCTATCTGATGCACTGGTCACTGGTCACTTCAGGCTGGATGCCCTGTTTTCCGGGTTGTATCATGCTGTATCGTAGCTTTCCTCTGGCAATTTGCATACAAAATCGGTGCCTTTTTTCCTGCTTCTCTTCCACTTTAAGGAATTTTCTCCAACGCAATTGCATGGTCGCAGCAAACTCGAGCTGCTCTGTAAATTTCGGTGGCATCTGGTCATGCCACCGCGAACCTAGGCCTACACGGGGCCGTTTTCAAGAACTCTGTTGACTGATGTTGACAAATTGACACATTGGGAAACCCATTGGCCCTGCAACACAGCACGACTTGAGGTGCAGCTGTGGCAAACTCTGCACATCCACAGGTCAATCAATGATACGCAACTTCAAACTACGATACATTTTGTCGCACAAATCTCACTGATGTTCGTCGTTTTTTTTGTGAACCTGGTTTCAACAACATGTTCTTTTATGACTCATTTTGCCAAAATGGCCCCAACATCAATTAAAATCACAGTCAATATATATATATATATGTGTAGATATAGATATATATATATAAATAGATAAATAGATAGATAGATAGATAGATTGATAGATTGATAGATAAATGATAAATAAATAGATAGATAGATAGATAGATGGATAGATCAATAGATAGATAGATATAGATAGATATAGATAGATATAGATAGATATAGATAGATATAGATAGATATAGATAGATATACATAGATAGATATAGATAGATATAGATAGATATAGATAGATATAGATAGATATAGATAGATTAGATTAGATTTAGATTTAGAATTAGATTAGATTAGATGAGATTAGATAGATTAGGTAGTTAGTTAGTTAGTCAGTTAGTTAGTTAGTTGGTTAGTTAGATAGATAGATAGATAGATACATAATGATACATAGATAGATATTGTGTTCAGAGGGGGTGGCGGATTTGATCCCTTATGAACATATTTAAATTGGATTCAATAGCCCATTCAATATATTGTTCAGAGGGGGTTACGGGGTTGATCCCCTATGAAGATAAGTTGAAGTTCATGTCCCGTTCAATGTATTGTTCAGAAAGGGTGGCAGATTTGATCCCTTATGAACATATTTAAGTTGCATTCAATATCACATTCAATATTTTGTTCAGAGGGAGGGGGGCGGATTTCATCCCTCATGAAGATCAGTGGTGCGTCCGGGTTGGAGCCAACAGGTGACGGGAAAATCCTTGAAATATGTCATCCACCTTACCACCCCAAAGGGCAATGATTTGGCCACTCAGGGCCTATAGGGCATTACATTCCCAATGTGATTTAAGAAAGCATATCCACATACTTGAGGCCCATGGGTAAGGGACGAAAGCTAGCTTGGCGGGGAGCTTGGCATGAAAACACAGCGATGCAGAGGATCCGGATTCTACCGATGTTACTACCGGTGGCGACATGCCAACGATGTCCCCGAAAAGCAAAGGGTGGGTAGTTAACTGTGAAGTTTCCCGGTATTGGAGATTCCAGCCCCCCCAAGACCTTGCTAAAGCAAGAAGGACTTCAGCTAGCAGAAGCTAGCTTTCGTGACATGCAGATTTGTGCAGAATCAAACGTAGACAGCAGCTCTAAAAATGTTCCAAAGATCCTGTGGTTGGCATAGAGGCTGCCAAATGCAATCTTGAGCAAAGGGGCAACTGCCTCCAGAGCCCCTGCACTCAAGCGGATTGTCAGTAAGGGCAAGATAGGTCACAACGGTGACTGATCTTTCCCCACCAATTTTTAGGCCCAGCAGATGGTTGTCCTATGCAACCATTGTGAGCATCTCTACAGAAGGCTGTCGCCTTCACAAAACCTTTGTTTTGTGGCTTCAATTCGGTCCAACTGTACTATCCACAGCAGCTGTACACTCGCTGACCTGTTCGACATTACACATTCGACGTAGCTCATTTCGTTGTCTTGGCCAACATCAGAGTATTCTACCGGCTTTAGCTGGTCTCCTTATCTCCCGGCCAAATGCCAAACATGGGGTATTGAATGGCATATATATATATATGTGGTATTGATCGGCTGATAGATCTGATATGATCTGATAGGTATTGGGTCAAGCAGTCAAGCCTCCTACTTTTCAGTCTCGGCACCTTTTCTCCACATCGAATCCACCCAAAATCCAAGCGTTTCAGCGTCTCAGCTGGCCCTCCGTAGCTTGTCTATGGCCAGCAAGCCTCAAGAGGTGAACTGTTTCGAACATGGCTGTGATCATGGCACAAAAATGCAGACACAAAGAGGAACTGAAGCAAACGGATTTAGTCTTTACATGTCTTTTCAAGATGTATTATGTAAGGGAAATTCTCAATGGATTCAGTTTTTTTTACAGTCTACATTACATCGGGGAAAAGTCACGGGATAAAATCAGATGCAATTTTCATCCAGTTCCAGCCAATGCAAAAAATTGGTTCTGCAGCCAAGGGTCCACAAAGAACAAGCCCTGCATCTACGCTGGGAGCAACTCGAACCTGGCGTTTTTGATGCCCTTTCCTTACAGGAAATGGTTAAAGATTGTGTTTCTAAATGGCTCCAAGTGGCTATGACTGTTGCAGCCATAGCATATCCCCCATACGCCAGAGTCGCAAAGGTTTCTTGTACTGCACGGATCATTCCACTCAGGCTGGGTCAAAATTAGCAGAATTGCGAGCCGGAAAATGTATTTGGATCCATCCCAAGACTATTTCTGCTGCTTATCCTCATGTTTGTTGGGTATTCCCAACTTGCTTGATCACTTCCTTTGTAATTGGGTGGCAGTCTTGATCCACCAAGACATTGTGGATCAAGATTGTGATTGTGATAGTAATATGCGCTGAGATGTTGCAAAATATCGTCATTTTGTCAGAGAAATCTCCGTTTGTTGTCAAGCGTTCCCAACTTTTTCTGTTAAAGCCACCCGCGCTTGTTTTTTGAAAAAAAAAGAACATGGTTTTTGAACGCATCAACATCATGCAAGAAGAACAATGCTTTGGCACACACCCTTAGAACATCGGTTGTTGCCTATAAATGGTCGGATTCAACCATTAGCCCACTATCAAACTATTCACCCGTTGTCAACCATTATTTACCACTATTTTTGTTACCTCTATGTCGCCATGAATTTGTTACCGATTTACCAGAGGAAAATCCGTAGGAAAATCCATGCATTCTTCACCCAGCCCGCCTGAAAGTGAGGTGTATTTCCAAGCGACGCAGCCACACAGCGTTCCGTGTCGCAGACCAGGCGGCCAGAGGCGCTCACCACGTTGATGGCCTGGATGGGCCATGGGCCAAAGGTGAGGAAATCTGCCAGAAACTCATGGAAGGTCAATATCTTATATTATATTTTGTTATGTGTATATGTATACCATATATATATAATGTATATACATGTATGTATATCATTCAATGTGATTTAGATTAATTCAGATATGGTCAGATTCAATAGTTGGAGTTTTTCAACACCCACCATCAGATCCTGTTGTTTTTACCCAAGGTTTGGCCTTCTCCTGGAAGTTGCCGTTGTAGGTGAAGATCCGTTGCCCAGCTTTGTCCCGCAACCTGGGTCCAAGTCCAATGGGTAATCCATGGCTCATCCAACCTCTGGGGGGCTGCCATCTGAGAAATGACAGTTATAGTTTCAACATGTTTCAACATGTTTCTTTCATAGCCGTATAGGCCGTATACCATTCTGACAAAGATTGAAAAAAATCATTCCAGGCCAAGCCCCAAAACGACAACCTGCCCAAATTTACCAAGGCTACCAAGGCTGCAACGTGTAGCGTTTGTTGGGCACAGGATCCTCCTTGGCAATGGATCCATAGACCTGTCCAGGATGCAGCTGCAAGGTCTACTACTTGACCAGTTGGTTTACCGAAAGTTGGTACTAGGTACCCCAAAGTGCATGTGTCGTCATCTCCTCTTTGTCTCTAGTTTGCAATTTATCTGACTATTTGCCCCCATTGATTCAGTCAGGCTCATGCCTGGCCTCGCCCGATGGCCAACAAATCTGCGGAGGAGCACCACCTTGGGCGTCGTAGAGAGAAGCAGTTTTCACCTGGGAAGATCTGGCTCTGGCTGGAGAAGATTTGGGTATATGATATGTGGATAAAAATGAATATACATATATTATATTATATCCGCCGACCACGGCCTTTGCCAAGGCCGGGGCCGGGGCGGCGCCTGGGACCACCGGAGGTGTGGATCCTGTCTTTCTTGAACCCTTGCCACGCCCAACGCTGCAGGCAAAAGCCACCACAAGGCCACAGCAATGGCTCAAGAGCACCCCACGGCCGCAGCAATGGCTTCTTTTATAAGCGTTCAAGGCTGCCGTTTGCCACGCCTCAAACCCTCCAAACTTTCCAACTCCCCCAAAAGTTTGCCCAACTGCGCAGGGAAAAGGTGCCCCAACAAGGTCAACACGCGCGACGCCCGCAGGCAAAAGCCACCACAAGGCCACAGCAATGGCTCAAGGGCACCCCCCGGCTGCAGCAATGGCTTCTTATACGCGTTCAAGGGTGCCGTTTGCCAGGCCTCAAACGCTCCAAACCCTCCAAAAGTTCGCCCAGCTCCGCAAAAAAAAGGTACCCCAACAAGCCCAACACGCACCACTCCCGCACGCAAAAGCCACCACAAGGCCACAGCAATGGCTCAAGAGCACCCCACGGCCGCAGCAATGGCTTCTTTTATAGGCGTTCAAGGCTGCCGTTTGCCAGGCCTCAAACCCTCCAAACGCTCCAAAAGTCCGCCCAGCTCCGCAGGGAAAAGGTACCCCAACAAGCCCAACACGCGCCACTCCCGCATGCAAAAGCCACCACAAGGCCACAGCAATGGCTCAAGGGCACCCCACGGCCGCAGCAATGGCTTCTTATAGGCGTTTAAGGCTGCCGTTTGCCAGGCCTCAAACCCTCCAAACTGCTCCAAAAGTCCGCTCAGGTTCGCAGGGAAAAGGTACCCCAACAAGCCCAACACGCGCCACTCCCGCACGCAAAAGCCACCACAAGGCAACAGCAATGGCTGAAGGGCACCCCCCCCGCCGCAGCAATGGCTATAAGGGCCTCTTATAGGCGTTCAAGGCTGCCGTTTGCCACGCCTCCAACGCTCCAAACCATCCAAAAGTCCGCCCAGCTCCGCACGGAAAAGGTACCCCAACAAGCCCAACAGGCGCCACTCCCGCACGCAAAGCCACCACAAGGCCACAGCAATGGCTCAAGAGCACCCCCCGGCCGCAGCAATGGCTTCTTTTATAGGCGTTCAAGGCTGCCGTTTGCCAGGCCTCAAACCCTCCAAACCTTCCAACTCCTCCAAAAGTTTGCCCAACTCCGCAGGAAAAAGGTACCCCAACAAGCCCAACACGCGCGACGCTCGCAGGCAAAAGCCACCACAAGGCCACAGCAATGGCTTAAGGGCACCCCACGGCCGCAGCAATGGCTTCTTATAGGCGTTTAAGGCTGCCGTTTGCCAGGCCTCAAACCCTCCAAACGCTCCAAAAGTCCGCCCAGCTCCGCAGGGAAAAGGTACCCCAACAAGCCCAACACGCGCCACTCCCGCATGCAAAAGCCACCACAAAGCCACAGCAATGGCTCAAGAGCACCCCACGGCCGCAGCAATGGCTTCTTTTATAGGTGTTCAAGGCTGCCGTTTGCCAGGCCTCAAACCCTCCAAACCTTCCAACTCCTCCAAGAGTTTGCCCAACTCCGCAGGGAAAAGGTACCCCAACAAGCCCAACACGCGCCACTCCCGCAGGCAAAAGCCACCACAAGGCCACAGCAGTGGCTCAAGGGCACCCCACGGCCGCAGCAATGGCTTCTTATAGGCGTTTAAAGCTGCCGTTTGCCAGGCCTCAAAGCCTCCAAACCCTCCAAAAGTCCGCTCAGCTTCCCAACACGCGCGACGCTCGCAGGCAAAAGCCACCACAAGGCCACAGCAATGGCTCAAGGGCACCCCACGGCCGCAGCAATGGCTTCTTATAGGCGTTTAAGGCTGCCGTTTGCCAGGCCTCAAACCCTCCAAACGCTCCAAAAGTCCGCTGTGTGGATCCTGTCTTTCTTGAACCCTTGCCACGCCCAATGCTGCAGGCAAAAGCCACCACAAGGCCACAGCAATGGCTCGAGAGCACCCCACGGCCGCAGCAATGGCTTCTTTTATAAGCGTTCAAGGCTGCCGTTTGCCACGCCTCAAACCCTCCAAACTTTCCAACTCCCCCAAAAGTTTGCCCAACTTCGCAGGGAAAAGGTACCCCAACAAGGTCAACACGCGCCACGCCCGCAGGCAAAAGCCACCACAAGGCCACAGCAATGGCTCAAGGGCACCCCCCGGCCGCAGCAATGGCTTCTTATACGCAAACGCTCCAAACCCTCCAAAAGTTCGCCCAGCTCCGCAGGGAAAAGGTACCCCAACAAGCCCAACACGCGCCACTCCCGCACGCAAAAGCCACCACAAGGCCACAGCAATGGCTCAAGAGCACCCCACGGCCGCAGCAATGGCTTCTTTTATAGGCGTTCAAGGCTCCCGTTTGCCAGGCCTCAAACCCTCCAAACCTTCCAACTCCTCCAAAAGTTTGCCCAACTCCGCAGGGAAAAGGTACCCCAACAAGCCCAACACGCGCGACGCTCGCAGGCAAAAGCCACCACAAGGCCACAGCAATGGCTCAAGGGCACCCCACGGCCGCAGCAATGGCTTCTTATACGCGTTTAAGGCTGCCGTTTGCCAGGCCTCAAACCCTCCAAACGCTCCAAAAGTCCGCTCAGCTTCGCATGGAAAAGGTACCCCAACAAGCCCAACAGGCGCCACGCCCGCACGCAAAAGCCACCACAAGGCCACAGCAATGGCTGAAGGGCACAACCCGGCCGCAGCAATGGCTATAAGGGCCTCTTATAGGCGTTCAAGGCTGCCGTTTGCCAGGCCTCAAACCCTCCAAACCCTCCAAATCCTCCAAAAGTCCGCCCAACTCCGCAGGCAAAGGTACCCCAACAAGCCCAACAGGCGCCATGCCCGCACGCAAAAGCCACCACAAGGCCACAGCAATGGCTCAAGGACACCCCACGGCCGCAGCAATGGCTTCTTTTAGGCGTTCAAGGCTGCCGTTTGCCAGGCCTCAAACCCTCCAAACCTTCCAACTCCTCCAAAAGTTTGCCCAACTCCGCAGGGAAAAGGTACCCCAACAAGCCCAACACGCGCCACGCCCGCAGGCAAAGGCCACCACAAGGCCACAGCAATGGCTGAAGGGCACAACCCGGCCGCAGCAATGGCTATAAGGGCCTCTTATAGGCGTTCAAGTCTGCCATTTGCCAGGCCTCAAACCCTCCAAACCCTCCAAATCCTTCAAGCTGATCCGTGTCCATTTGGCCGCAGGGTGCAACTTCTCGCTGCTTGAGAAGCAAACGGCCATATGTCTGTCTTGCTGTCCGTCTCCCTCTCTCTCTCTACAGTACCCCCCCTCCAATTAGGGGGGTCGGCGGCACCTGGGCGCTAGCCCATTCTATTATATTATATTATATTATATTATAATACATTACATTAAGTTATATTTTGTCATATCATATCATATCAAATCATATTATACTATACTATACTATATTATACTATATTAAATAATATTATATATCAAATTATACCAAATGATATCATATTATATTATACTAATTTATATTATACTATATTAAATAATATTATATTATATAAAATTATACCAACTTATATCATTTTATGTAATATTATATTGGGTCATGTTAAATCATATTATATTACATTATTATACTATATTTTCTTAAATTATATTATATTAAATTATATTACATTATATTAAGTCAAATCATATCATATTATATGTTTTATCATATTATATATCATAGTGTATTTTATTATATTGTATTAGATCATGCTATATCAAATCATATTATATTATATATTATATTAAATATTACTTTTTATATAGTATATCATATCATTATATCATATATTATGCTATATTATTTCAGTTTATTTTATATTATATTCTATGTATATTTATAAATTGTGTATCCGGTTTCTATTGATTATTGTTTTCTGATTTGAAAGAATGGGTGACTGCAAAAGCATGCAAAAGCCATGTCTCATTATTCTCATTTATCCGGTTTGGATTTTTGGAGATAGGTCTCAATTTTTGACAAATAGAAGTCATGAGGTTACTGTAGAAGTCTTCCGGGATCTCCCGTGGATCTTGCCAAGTCGCCCAAGCCAGCGGTCGGTCATCGAGGGAGCGCAGGAAAATACCTGCCAGCGATGCTTCATCAAAAATCCATCAATGGACTGCCCACTTCGATGAAAGAACGGTATCGTAAAAGGACCCCCCAGCAATTCCTCATTTGTTGAATATGTTTTATATCATTTTCTATCCCTGTTCCACCATCAGCGTGGGACTGACCCTTCCCTCACTGGGCCCTAGCACCGCCACGGGATCCAAATTCATCGACCACGACCTGAAGCGGTCACTGCAGGGAGTTTGTCTGTGGTCAAAGTGGTTGGCCTCGGTTTAGTAGTGTATCTGTTCATGTTGGGAACCAATATCTCAGTATTCCTTACTTTGTTTGGGGAATCTCCGGAGTAAATAGAACGTTTGGACTTACACTGAAATGGATGTCGGCATGGACAGGTCCAAATCCATGAAAATTTGAAGCCACTGGCTATGAATGAAATTTGGACACTGGCCCGAATCGGTTTTGTATCCAAAAAATACGGTTTCAAGTCTTGAAACACAATGTGGCCTGGTTTCCACTACCTGTATCTGGATGTACAGTAGCCATTTTGAGATCTGCTGAACAACCATGGTTCCAAGATGTTCCAAGAGCAATGGTCCCACAGGTGGGTCCCACAAGAACCAGGAACCGTCCAGGTGGGAACAGCAACACCAGCCGTCACCAGCCCAGATTCTCATCACACTGCAGCCAGGCGGCTCTACTGAGAGGCTGCCCTTGCAAATCAACTATGTGGAACCTTGGTGTTGCAACTAGCTGGGGAAAGCTCTCACGGTTTTTACTCGCAAACCGAATTCGTCTCTTGGGCCTAGTGGCGACACTTGTTGTTTCTCAGCAGTGATCAACTCGGAGACCTCAGTGGAGGTGACGCTGCTGAGGAAGGAAACAAAAGCCTGGCTTGGATAGAGGGTGAGATGGAGAAGGTGACCAAAGACAAACGGGCAAAAAGAGACAGGTGGCATGTCTGAGAAGCAAGAAGCACCTGGGATGCTACGCTGTGTGCCATGTCACTAATTGACGAAAAAACCCAGTGGTTGCTGTCATATCATATATCCTTTTCCTACGGCATACCTGAAGTGACGTGCCTTTTCCTCCTCTCGCGTTGCCTTTGCGCAAACCCAAAAAAGGCCCTCTGAAAAACCAGACACACGAACAACCTCGACAACTTCAACTTGACTCATCGGTCATACCCTATTTGTATCTATTTGTGCCTTAGCCATGACCACCATGGGCATTGCCAAACCTACACAGCTGCAGTATGAGCCACGTCATTCATTGACACAAAACTCCGAATTCAAATATGTCCGAACCCAAAGAAGTACTTTGAAACCTCGACCCATATCCCTTTCCGTGGGGAACCTGAAATGCCTTTGTCAACTCTCAGCAGCCCCTACCCCCAGACCCCAATCCTTATTTCGTTCCTATAACACAACGTAGCCAATTCTGCGGCTGGCTTCGTCACAGCAAAACGATGGGCTGAGGAGGTTGCCCTTCACAAAACCGGTTCGAAACTCTCAATATACGTGTGATGGTAACCTGATGGTCAGTCTAGATCATCTTTCCAGCCGCAAGAAGGGACATCGTCGGCTGGTCGACAAGTGTGTCTTTTCCCCTGTGGCACTGTAGCCAGTCTCATGATTATCCTGCGTTAAAGCCACGAAGTTCTGCCGATCGAGGCGTGATCTGTTAGTCTTAGCAGTGCAAATTATAGTCCGACAACTACGCGTAATTACGCTTACCAGTCGTACCGCACAAGGCGGTGGCGGAAGTTTCAAAAATAGGAAACCTATAGCAGAGTGGTTGTTGTGAGTCACGGATGGCAGAGCGAAGCCATTGATGGACCGACAGGTGGTTGGGGTCTCCTCTCTTTCTCTCTCTTTCTTTCTCTTTCTCTGACTATCTACCTACCTACCGACCTATCTATCTTTGATTCGATTTATCTATCTATCTATCTATCTACCTATCTATCTATCTGTCTATCCGTCTATCTGTCTATCTGTCTATCTATCTGTCTATCTATCTACCTATCTATCTATCTGTCTATCCGTCTATCTGTCTATCCGTCTATCTATCTGTCTATCTATCTGTCTATCTATCTATCTATCTATCTATCGATCTATCGATCTATCGATCTATCGATCTATCGATCTATCGATCTATCGATCTATCTATCTCTCGATCTCTCTATCTAATCTAATCTAATCTAATCTATTCTAATCTATTCTAATCTATTCTAATCTATTCTAATCTATTCTATCTATCTATCTATCGATCTATCGATCTATCGATCGATCTATCTATCTATCTATCTATCTATCTATTCTCTCTCTCTCTCTATCTCTCTGTCTGTCTGTCTGTCTGTCTATCTATCTATCTACCTATCTATCTATCTATCTATCTATCTATCTATCTAATCTCTCTCTCTCTCTATCTCTCTGTCTCTCTGTCTGTCTGTCTGTCTGTCTGTCTGTCTGTCTGTCTGTCTGTCTGTCTGTCTGTAAGCTTGAAAACGAAGCTATTCTGCGAGACTTCCTCAGTTTTTAAACTTGACAACATCAAAAACGCAGCAATTCTGCGAGACTTCCTCAGTGTTTGAACTTGACCACATCAAAAACGAAGCAATTCTGCGAGACTTCCTCATTTTTTGAAGTTGACAACATCAAAAACGAAACAATTCTGCGAGGCTTCCTTCAAAAATGGAAAGTTGAGTGCAGAGCTGACGGCCTGGGCCTCGTACCAATGCGTTTTGCGATTTTTCCACTCCACCTGTCTAAAGTATTGCGCTTGCCACGACAAAGTGATGCCAGGTCATACGAAGTGTTGTACCTGTCACGCAAATCACCTCAGCAAACCTGAAGATCTGATGCTCCAAAATGCAACCCCTCTCAGGAAATCAGCGCCCGGACCCCCTAACAGCTCTGATGAACATGTCTCTTGTACTGCCCCTGCTACGGAAAATGCATCTTTGCAGATCCTCTTCAAATGTCCCACGCCTGCCATCGTTTTTGGAAATGCTACAAAACCCTCACGTGGTGCATAATCCCCTGCGCCTGCCACGCAAAACGAGATCTGAACGTCAAAAAGTGGTCCAAACCCCTGGTGTTTTTCCCCACATCTTTGCGTGGGGTTCTTGTTTTTGATTCTGCATCCCGCCGCCTCGTCCTCCTCCTCCGCCGCCTCCTCCGCCGCCTCCGCGTCATACACCATCTCTTTCACATACCAACTTTGTCACACACCATCTTTGTCACACACCTTCTTTCAAACACCAACTGTCACACACCATCTTTCACACACAACTTTGTCACACACCATCTTCCACACACAACTTTGTCATCCACCTTCTTTCACACACCATCTTTCACACACCATCTTTCACACACAACTTTGTCACACACCATCTTTCACACACCAACTTTGTCACACACCATCTTTCACACACCATCTTTGTCACCCACCATCTTTCACACACCACTTTGTCACACACCATCTTTCTCACACCATCTTTGTCACACACCATCTTTCACAGACCAACTTTGTCACACACACCATCTTTCACACACAACTTTGTCACCCACAACTTGGCACTTGGTGACATCGACCTCACATCCACCGTCGACTTGCGTGGCAGGCGTGGCACTTGGCGACATCCACCTTTGTTTTGCGTGGCAGGCGTGGCACTTGGAGACATCTAACTTCGTTTTGCGTCCACTTATGGCACTGGGCTGGCTCTGGTGGCGCGCTTGGGCTGGGAATTGGTCGCCGGTGACGCTGCAACACTTTGCGTGGCAGGCGTGGCACTTGGCAACATCCACCTTCGTTTCACGTGGCAGGCGTGGCACTTGGAGACATCTACATCATCTACCTTCGTTTTGCGTGGCAGGCGTGGCTCTTATGGCGCTGGGCTGACTCTGGTGGCGCGCTTGGGCTTGGATTGGTCGCCGGTACCGCCGTGGCACTTCAGGCGTGGCACTTGGCAACATCCACCACGTGGCAGGCGTGGCACTTGGAGACATCTACCTTCGTTTTGCATGGCAGGCGCGCCACTTATGGCACTGGGCTGGCTCTGGTGGCGCGCGACGCCGCAACACTTTGCGTGGCAGGCGGGGCACTTGGCAACATCCACCTTCGTTTCACGTGGCAGGCGTGGCACTTGGAGACATCTAACTTCGTTTTGCGTCCACTTATGGCACTGGGCTGGCTCTGGTGGCGCGCTTGGGCTGGGAATTGGTCGCCGGTGACGCTGCAACACTTTGCGTGGCAGGCGTGGCACTTGGCGACATCCACCTTCGTTTTGCGTGGCAGTCGTGGCACTTGGAGACATCTACCTTCGTTTTGCGTGGCAAGCGTGCCACTTGTGGCACTGGGCTGGCTCTGGTAGCTCTGGTGGCTGGCACCACTTTGTCACACACCACCTTTCACACACCATCTTTGACACACCCTCTTTCACACACCACTTTGTCACACACCATCTTTCACACACCATCTTTCACACCCAACTTTGTCACCCCCCCATCTTTCACACGCTATCTTTCACACACCACTTTGACACACCATCTTTCACACACAACTTTGTCACACATCATCTTTGACACACCACTTTGTCACACACCATCTTTCACACACCATCTTTGACACACCCTCTTTCACACAACATCTTTGTAACACACCATCTTCACACACCATCTTTCACCACACCATCTTCCACATACCATGTTTCACCACACCATCCTGTCCTTGACACACAACTTTGTCACACACCATCTTTCACACGCCACTTTGTCACACATCATCTTTCACACACAACTTTGTCACACGTTCTCTTTCACACAGAACTTTCACCCACACCATCTTTCACCACACCATCCTTCACACACCACTGTGTCACACTACCATCTTTCACGACACCATCCTTCACACACCACTTTCTCACACACCATCTTTCACGACACCATCTTTCACACATAACTTTGTCACACACCGTCTTTCACCACACCATCTTTCGCACACAACTTTGTCACACACCATCTTTCGCCACACCATATTTCACACACCACTTTGTCACACATCATCTTTC